GCTACTAAGGAGGCTGAGGCAGGAGAATCGCTTGAACCCAGGAGGTAGAGGTTGCGGTGAGCCCAGATCACGCCATTGCACTCCAGCCTGGGCAACAAGAATGAAACTCCATCTAAAAATAAATAAATAAGTAAGATGCAGATAATATTTAAAACACTTTGGCTTTCTTTGCAAATAAATACCTATATATATATATATATATATATATATATAGTAACTTCTTTGATCTAAGCACTAAACAATCATTAAGCAATTAGTTAGCATTAAAGCCTGGATAGATGAGAAGCGGGCCAAGAAAAGATCCATTTCACCTCAACAGTACAGCATAATGGTTTAGTCAACATAATGTTGAAACCATTCACAACTATTTCAGAGCTTTGGTGAATGATGCTGCTACTATGGTTCAGAGAAAGACACTGACAGCAACAAAATATCACTGTGCAACTACTGAAGTGATAGTGAATGAATGAACAGGCTTTACAACAATACTTCTTTTTCTTTGCTTTTCCTGTTCCTCTCAATTAACCATGTTAAAACTACATCTGAAAACTAGACTCGCTCAAACAGGTAAGTAATAACTCAAATCACCACTACTTTTTTCTAATGTCAAAAGATATTAGATATATTCCAGGTATACTAGAATATACCTAGCTTTTTTTTTTTTTTTTTTTTTTTGAGACAGAGTCTCACTCTGTCGCCCAGGCTGGAGTGCAGTGGCACGATCTCGGCTCACTGAAACCTCCACCTCCTGGGTTCACACCATTCTCTTGCCTCAGCCTCCCAAGTAGCTGGGATTATAGGCATGGGAAACCACAACTGGCTAGTTTGGTATTTTTAGTAGAGATGGGGTTTCATCATGTTAGTCACACTGGTCTTGAACTCCTGACCTCAGGTGATCCACCTGTGTTGGCCTCCCAAAGTGCTGGGATTACAGGCGTGAACCACCGTGCCCCGCCAAGACCTAGCATTTAAAAGTGATACACCTAGGCTAACAGCTGCCAAATACTTACATCAAATCTCACAAAGTAAAGCTTCTAACACTTCCTCCCAAAATATCAGCCTTTAAAATTAAAATTACATATTCTGATTAAGAGTAACTCTATTTTGGCCGGGCGCGGTGGCTCACGCCTGTAATCCCAGCACTTTGCGAGGCCAAGGCGGGTGGATCACAAGGTCAGGAGATCGAGACCAGGTGAAACCCCGTCTCTACTAAAAATACAAAAAATTAGCCGGGCGCGGTGGCAGGTGCCTGTAGTCCCAGCTACTTGGGAGGCTGAGGCAGGAGAATGGCAGGAACCCGGGAGGCGGAGCTTGCAGTGAGCCGAGATCGCACCACTGCACTCCAGCCAGGGGGACAGAGCGAGACTCCGTCTCAAAAAAAAAAAGAGTAACTCTATTTCTAATATTTTTAAATGTGAAAAATAACATGTATGATTGATGGCCTAAGGTTTTTGGTACTATTCTTTAAGAAAAGTGTCTTCGACCAGCCTGGCCAACATGGTGAAACCCCGTCTCTACTAAAAATACAAAAATTAGCCAAGCATGGTGGCACACACCTGTAATCCCAGCTACTCGGGAGGCTGAGGCAGGAGAATCGCTTGGACCTGGGAGGCAGAGGTTGCAGTGAGCCAAGATCACGCCACTGCACTCCAGCCTGGGCATCAGAGTGAGACTCGATCTCAAAAAAAGAAAAAACAAGTGTCTTCCTGTGGCTGACCATGGTGGCCATCACCTGTAGTCTCAACTACTCTGCAGGCTGAGGTAGGAGGAATCACTTGAGCCCAACAGGTCGAGGCTGTGGTACACTATGATCATTCCTGTGAACAGCTACTGAACTCTAGCCTGGGCAACATAGTGAGGACCCATCTCTTTAAAAACAAACAAACAAAAAAAGGGCTAGGCGCAGTGGCTCACGCCTGTAATCCCAGCACTGTGGGAGGCTGAGTCGGGCGGAACATGAGGTCAGGATTTCAAGAGCAGCCTGGCCAACATGGTGAAACTCTGTCTCAACTAAAGATATAAAAAATTAGCTGGGCGTGGTGGCACGCGCCTGTGTCCCCAGCTACTCGGGAGGTTGGGGCAGGAGAATCGCTTGAACCCAGGAGGCAGAGGTTGCAGTGAGCCGAGATCGCACCACCACACTCCAGCCCAGAAGACAGACAGACAGACAGACAGACAGACAGAAATAAAGAAAGAAAGGAAGAAAGAAAGGAAGAAAGAAAAGAAAAAGGAAAGAAAGGTTTCTTTCTCAAAAACTAATGCTTTCTCTTGTGTCAAGTTGCTCACTATAATCAGAAAACTCTAGCACATACATATAGTTTTACCAACTTTCTTACTCCTTTCTACAGAACGTGGATCATAAGTTTTCTAACAAATTTTGAATCCTTTCATGTATTCCTAAATAATACTGTTAATGTTTTTATTTATTTATTTATTTTTTTGAGACGGAGTCTCTCTCTGTTGTGCAGGCTGGAGTGCAGTGGCATGATCTTGGCTCACTGCAACCTCCGCCTCCCGGCTTTAAGCAATTCTCCTGCCTCAGCCTCCTGAGTAGCTGGGACTACAGGCGCGCACCACCACGCCCAAATAATTTTTGTATTTTTAGTAGAGACAGGGTTTCACCATGTTGGCCAGGATTGTCTCTATCTCGACATCGTGATCCTCCCGCCTCGGGCTCCCAAAGTGCTGGGATTACAGGCGTGAGTCAGAACACCCGGCCCAAGTAATACTGCTAATGATTTAACCTACACGTCCTAAGGATGACATATTATTTGTATGTATAACACTTCTATTTAGATTTGTGTGTGTGTGTGTGTGAGACAGTCTCACTCTGTCACCCAGGTTAGAGTGCAGTGGTGCGATCTCAGCTCACTGCAACTTCCATCTCCTGGATTCAAGTGATTCTCCTGCATTAGCCTCTCTAGCAGCTGGGATTACAGGAATCCACCACCACACCCAGCTAATATTTGTATTTTTAGTAGAGATGGGATTTCACCATGTTGGGCAGGCTGGTCTCCAACTCCTGACCTGAGGTGATCCACCTGCCTCAGTCTCCCAAAGTGCTGGGATTACAGATGTGAGCCACCATACCCAGCCTATTTAGATGTTTTACACACTAACGATATTCAAAATATTGATCCTATATTCAAAAATAAATCCAAAACATAGACTCTATTTTTTTAAAAATGAGTATTAAAAATTATTATACTATAAAACTATTTCATGGCCAACCAAGGTGGCTCACACCTGTAATCCCTGCACTTTGGGAGGCTGAGACGGACAGATCACCTGAGGTCAGGAATTTGAGACCAGCTTGGCCAACATGGTAAAACCTCATCTCTACTAAAAATACAAAAAAAAAAAATTAGGCGTGGTGACATGTGCCTTTAGTCCCAGCTACTTGGGAGGCTGAAGTGGGAGAATCTCCTGAACCCGGGAGGCGGAAGTTGCAGTGAGCCAAGATCACGGCACTGAACTCCAGCCTCGGTGACAGAGCGAGGCGCTGTCTCAAAACAACAACAACAACAAACTATTTCATCATATATTTGAGGATCTGGTTTTTTAAGCAAGTCGTCTACTCACTTTCCCTACCTTGCTCCAAAAGCATAAGCAGGAATCATATATTAAATAACACCTTCCTGAACTTTGTCAAGGAAGTCCGTGAAAAATACAGATTAAGATATAGTTATAAATAAAAATTAAAATTTACAACTGCAAATCAAAAAGTAAACTATGGCTGGCTAAGCTTACCCCTAAATTCTAATTCTAAAGGAAGATTTCTCCAAACAGCAGGTGGATGAAATTTCAATGAACATCAAAGAACGCTACAGAAGAGGGTAAAAAATGTGTTAACTTTCCTTGGGAGTCCATCACGGTGACCCTGAGGGGTTACTAAGAATGAAATAATGATTTAGAATAGAATGCTTCGAAACAGCAATGGCAGAGTATTAACAAATGTATTAACACTTTAAAACAAACAATCCAGTTGTCCCCGGCCCACTTTCTTATTTTAGTCCTAGCACATGAGTCACATAACTTGCAGACTGATAACAAGAAGTCCCCGCTGCTGTGTCCTCATGTCAGTGACAGAGGCAACTCTCCTTTATTATATTTTCAAAAGGTGAAATGTATGAAATTTCTGGGTGGGGGGAGATACCAAATGTCTGTGTGCCTATAGTTATTAATAAGTTAACTACCAAGTAATTACGGAAAAAATAATGCTTAAAAAGAGGGCAAAGATTAGGCTTTAGGGTAACAATAATTGGACCCTCCCCAGATAATTCTAATTCATTGAACGCTTGCATAACTCGAAGTTGAGAAAAAATTTTTGAGGAAATATCTCGAGTACCAGAAGTTAGTCCAATGCAAAGTACAAGTGCTACTAAAAAGGATCCGGCCCTTTCCACTACTCACATCTTAATGTAATGCATAAAGGGAGCGAAGACTGCGAGTGCCCAAAAAAATGCAGAAACCTGACCTTGCCCACAAGTCGAATAGTTCTGCACCCCTCCCCCAGCTTCCCCGGGAGCCGGTTCACGCAATCCCAATTGGTCAGTCTGCTTATTCCAGCACCTGCCTGGCAGTGACAAGGGAATCTCCAGGGGAAGACGAGAAGCTCTGAAAGGAGGCGGCCTGGGAAACTGTGAGGCCCAGAAGTACAGGGTTTGAAAAGGAAAAGGAGAGAACCTTCGAAGGGATGAGGTCGGGCGGTTAGGGGCTAATGGGAACATGGCTTGCGAGGACGGCTGGGGAACAGGGAAAGGAGATCTCTGGAGGGCCCAGGTGAGGTGACAGGATGAGGGCCGCCGGCGGGCAGCCAAAAGAGAAGAGCGAAGGGGCTGGAAGGCCTAGAAACACACGCGGAGAGAGGCGAGAGGAGCTGTGAGGCGCGAGAAGGGCCCAGGCTGCAAAGGTTAGCGCTGCAGGGGCGACAGGGGCTGCAGGGGCAGGGAGGGCAGGGACTCAGGGGCCGGCCCTAGAGCGCGGACTCACGTTCTCCCACCAGCAGGATCCGCACGTCTTTCTTCATGTCGGCGGCTCTCGGGGGCCGGCCTCCGCCCGCACGCATGGAGTGGACTCCTCTCACCGGGAGCGCCCACCCCACGGCGCCACCTGCCAGCCTCTTCGGCCGCCGGGGCCCGCCGTGCCGCCCCCTCAGTTGCTTCCCTGCAAGAGAGCTGGTACAGCACCAGCTCCGCCTCCTCCGGCCCAGCGGGCGGCGGCGGCGGGGACGACGGCACGCGGCGAGGGACACGCGCTTTCGGAACGCGAACGCTCTCAGCGCCGGAACAGCGTTCCCGCGGCCACGCAGCCGCAGCGCAGGCCTAGGGAGCCTCACCCACCCTCCTCTGGGCACCGCGACCCGGGAGACGCTTGGGCCCGGAATTTGAATGGCGGATTCCCTGGTTTAACCCCATTTATTTTATAGACAGGGACAGAAATTCCCTGTTCAAAGTCACATAGCTAGAGCTTGGCAGTGACTCAGAGCAGGGATCTTCTCACCAGACTCTAAACTCTGGGAGAGCAGCAATCTGCTTGCATGGTTTTCGGTTGCGTCCCCACGTTATTGGACAGAGCCCTCAGAAAATGCTTGAGAATAGGGCGACTGGCTCCCAGGATCCGGCGCTTTCCACTTTCGAAAGCCCGTCACCCTAGTTGCTTTTGCCTGTGATGCTTGTAAAATACGATTATAAGATTCGTTTTTATGCTGTGTGAACAGACTCCTTTCTTTATAACCAAACTAAGTGACTTTTTTTTCTGTCTCTGTAGTTTATTTTATGGCAGGGTTTTCGGATACTCTACTCAGGCTTACCCGGCGTAATGCTAGACACGGAGGTGGCACTGGATAATAAACTCTAAATGATTTTTCTAACATTGCCTTAATTTTCTCTTGACCCTCTCCATCTGGAGGAATTTGTTGCTACATGCTTAATGTTTGGTACACGATGAGAAAATACACACACACACACACACACGCGCGCGCGTGCGAATATGCGTCACATCCCTAATGCTTGGCACACAGTGGGAAATATAAAACACATAAATTAATGAGGAGGCACTATCTGTGCATAATGTACCTTTTTTCTATCTTAAATATTACATAATGAACATTTAAAGGGAATGAAATGTGCCTAATACCAATCTCCCTTTCGCGTAGGAGAAGTCACGTGGTCTCTTGCAGCAGTTAAGAGTTGCTGGCAAATTTCCTGGGTTTGAATCTCGGCTCCACATAATAGCTCTGTGATCCTAAGTAAGTGCTTTTATTTTTACTTCTCTCAGCCACTGTTTCTTCTTCTGTAGCATGGAAATAATGATGATAATACCTTCCTCTTGAGATGGTTGTTAGTAATAAATACCATAATACTTGTCAAGCAGTTGATACAGTGCCAGACTCAAGAGTGTGTGCCCTACTGATCTCAGCTATCATTATTATCATATTAAAAAGTTATTAAAAAGTTTTAATCCACAGGTTTTTTTGTTTTTTGTTTTTTGTTTTTTTTGAAACTGAGTCTTGCTCTGTTGCCCAGACTGGTGTGCAGTGGCGCCATCTCGGCTCACTGCAAGCTCCGCCTCCTGGGTTCATGCCATTCTCCTGCCTCAGCCTCCCGAGTAGCTGGGACTGCCGGTGCCCGCCACCACACCCGGCTAATTTTTTTGTATTTTTAGTAGAGACGGGGTTTCACCATGTTAGCCAGGATGGTCTCGATCTCCTGAATGGAAATGTGAAGTTCAGGAGGCTTGGTTACCTGATCTTTCAGGGAAAAGTAGCCCTCAGAATTTTAGTGTTACAAAATGTTTGAGTTGGAAGAACCCTGATAGAGCTCCTATTCCAATCCCATTACTCTGTAGATAAGAAAAGCAAGGCCCACAGAGACACAGTGACCTGGCACAGATGGCATGGCTGAGGCTGAGCTTTGTTCTGCCATTCCTAGTGCATACTCTAGGGCAACTCATGTCACCTAGTTGTGCCTCAGTTTCCTCTCTACCAAGTGAAGGCTATGATCTCTTCCTTATGAAGTTGTTTGGAGGAGCTCATAAAATAATGTATTTTATGTGAATAATGTATTTCATATGAGTAATGTAATGAACTATAAATCTTTTTCCTTAAAAAAAAAAAAGTTATACAAATATCAGAGCACAGAGGACAAAAGCCTTTTACAGAGGGGCAAATTATTTAGGGCACTGCTTGCACCACACAGCTTTGTGAAGAATCTCGGAGCTAGCCTAGGAGCTCTCAATCAGCGTTGCCAGTTAATGACAATGTTGTTTCATTGGGGCTTCTCCAGGAGGGTGAGCAGTAACAAGGTCTTCATGGGGTTGTAGATGTGTACTGGGTAATGTCTGGTAGGCAGGGGCTGGGAAAAAGCATTTATTTAGAGGGATATCACAGAGATAATATTGCAAAGAACTCCTTTGTAAATAAAACTTACTTAAAAATCCATATCCAGTCAGGTATGCTGTTTCAACACCTATAATCCCAAAGCTTGGGGTAGCTGAGGTGGGAGGAGCTCTTGAGGCCAGGAGTTCAAGACAAGAAACATCGAAACCCCATCTCTACAAAAAATAAACAAATTAGCTGGGCGTGGTGGCATGCACCTGTAGTTCTAGCTGGGAGGCTGAGGTGGGAGGATCACTGGAGACCAGGAGTTGGAGGCTGCAGTGGGCTATGATCGCACCATTGCACTCAAGCCTGGGTGACGGAGCCAGAGTCTGTCTCTAAATAAAAAAAAATAAAAATCTGACTAGGGCACAATAGCTCACACCTGTAATCCTAGCACTTTGGGAGGCCGAGGTGGGAGGATCACTTGCGCTCAGGAGTTTGAGAGCAGCCTGGCCAACATAGCGAAAACCCGCCTCTACTAAAAATACAAAAGTTAGCTGGGTGTGGTGGCGCATGCCTGTAATCCCAGCTATTCGGGAGGCTGAGGCAGGAGAATCGCTTGAACCCAGGAGGTGGAGGTTGTAGTGAGCTGAGATCACACCACTGCAGTCCAGCCTGGGTGACAGAGTGAGACTCCATCTCAGAAAAAAAAAAAAAAACCTAACTCAATAACTGCAGAAAAGAGGCAACATCAAGCACTTTCAGCGAGCAATGGATATGGTTTGGTACAAACTGAGGCCAGCACTTGCTAAAGTTGGGGAGAGGGAGTCTGCTATGCCAGGGTTTGCCTCCCCTGCAATGTAAGTTTCTTTATACAGTCCGCAGCCATCTCCTGATCATCTATACGTCTGCCAGTTTGACTCCCTAACTTGCCTTAAACCTTATGCCCTCCTTATGATGTTAACAAATGTCCACTAGGGGTCACTCTGATGTTCTCCTGGAGACAGCACAGGTCGGTGGTTAAAGCAGGGAAGCTTGGCTGGGGATGAGAGGATTGCTTGAGCCCAGGAGTTCGAGACCTGCCTGAATAACATAGGGAGACCCTGTCTCTACAAAAGAATTTTAAAGAATTAAGCCGGGCGCCGTGGCTCACGCCTGTAATCCCAGCACTTTGGGAGACCGAGGTGGACAGATCACCTGAGGCCAGGAATTCGAAACTAGCCTGGCCAACATGGCGAAATCCTGTCTTCACTAAAAATACAAAACTTAGCTGGATGTGGTGGTGGGCGCCTGTAATCCCAGCTACTTGGAAGGCTGAAGCATGAGAATCTCTTGAACCCGGGAGGCGGAGTTGCAGTGAGCCGACATCGCATCACTGCACTCCAGCCTGGGGGATAAAGTGAGACTCTGTCTCAAAAAAAGAAAAGAAAAGAAAAATTAAAGAATTAATTGGATGTGGTGGCACACATCTGTAGTCCCAGCCACATGGGAGGATTGCTTGAGCCTAGGAGGTCGAGACTGCAGTGAGTTGTGATCGTACCACTGCACTCCAGTCTGGGTGACAGAGTAAGACCCCATTTCTTAAAAACAACAACAACAAAGACTAAGGACGCTGCTAGGTCTGAACATCAATCGTGCCTGTTACTAGCTGTGCATCATTGGACAGATTATTTAACTTCTCTGTGCCTCAACTGCCAAATGGGAATAACAATAGGACATACCTCATGAGATTGTTATGAAGATTAAATTAGTTAATGTAATAGGAAAGGCCAGGCATGGTGGCTAACGCCTGTAATCCCGGCACTTGGGAGGACGAGGTGGAAGGATCGCCTGAGGTCAGGAGTTCGAGACCAGCCTGGCCAACATGGTGAAACCCCATCTCTTCTAAAAATACAAAAATTAGCCAGGCATGGTGGTGGGCACCTGTAATCCCAGCTACTCAGGAGCTGAGGCAGAGAATCACTTGAACCCGGGAGGTAGAGGTTACAGTGAGCTGAGATCATGCCACTGCACTCCAGCCTGGGCAACACAGCGAAGACTCCATCTCAAAAAAAAAAAAAAACTTATTAGCCAGGCGTAATGGCATGCACCTGTAGTCCCAGCTACCTGGGATGCTGAGGTGGTCGATCACTTGAGCCTAGGAGGTCAAGGCTGCAATGAGCTGTGATTGTGCCACTACACTCCAGATTGGGTGACAGAGCAAGACCCTGTCTCAAAAAAAAAAAAAAAAAAAATAGCTGAGGTGGGAGGATCTCTTGAGGCCAGGAGTTCAAGACCAGCCTGAGAAACATCGAAACCCCATCTCTACAAAAAACAAATTAGCTGGGCATGGTGGCATGCACCTGTAGTTCCAGGTGGGAGGCTGAGGTGGGAGGATCACTGGAGACCAGGAGTTGGAGGCTGCAGTGAGCAATGATCGCACCACTGTACTCAAGCCTGGTGAGATATATATATATATATTAGGAAAACACTTAGATTTGTGCCTGGTGTGTGGTCAGTGATATATAAATGTTGGAAGAGGGAGATAGGAAAGACACACTCCTTGTTCATTGGCAGATAATGAAGAAATATTCCAGGGAGGATGCAAATAAGGAGGTTTAGTCTCCCCCTTCCCACCCACACATCAAATAAAATAAATTATAAGGGATGTAGCTTCTGTACACCTCTCTGAGCCTGAGGACAGAGCTTCATGATGACACATACTGCAGCAAATCATAAGCCAAAGAATGGAGTTGTTGGCAGTGAATTTACTGTTGGGATATTGCAGATTGATTACAATGTATTAAATAGATTGGATAAGGCCAAGAGGACAGATTGGTATCTAGAAGGCACTGATGGAATTTTCCTCTAGAATGCCAGGAAGGAGCTCTACCCTCACAATACAGGCTTCATGCCTCCTCAACTGTGCAGGGGAGGAGGTCAGAGCAAAGTACTTTCACCAGGAGATAAGAGGATCCATCTTTATGCCTAGCAGCACAGCCTCTCTCTGAGTTCCAGGACAGCAGAACACCCAGGGCCGTGGGTAGGCCTGCTGGGAGAAGATAAAGTATGTGTTAAATGACTGACATTGGGTGGGAACAGGCGCCCCACCTCTGATTGGTGAGTTAGACACAGTCCTGGGCAGGAGACCAAATAAGACTTGGCTTGGCATCGGTCCCATGCTTCAGATGCATCTATCTTTGGTCTTTCAAGTTAAACCCAAAGCAACATCCATCATCTGTGCTTTCTTCACTTTCGTGTCCCATTCCTTCCAGGATGCCTTCCTCCTTTTCCTGGCAGGCCCACTCTGGTGGAGTGGAAAAATCCAATGCTTTGATACCAGGTAAATGCTGTATTTTATCTTGCCTTTTAACATACTCGTTCTTGGTTCATTGTTCAAACATCCATGTCTTTGGCATAGTCAGTCACAAGGGTCGGTCTCTAGAGGACATGGATCCTGCCTGTTTGCTTGATTTGGCTTGAAGGTACATCACTCAGCACAATTACTTATTAAAAGGTATTTGATCATAACTGTCAGTGTTGAAAGGAAATTTCCAGACAAGAGCTTCATCTGTTAATGAAGCTGCATCCAGTCTTCTTTTTAATTTTCTTGAGCTCCTTTCAGATAAATTGGAAAACAAATACCCTCAATTAAGACAATTGATATTGCAGGGCGCAGTGGCTCACGCCTGTAATCCCAGCACTTGGGGAGGCCAAGGCGGGTGGATCATGAGGTCAGGAGATCAAGACCATCCTGGCTAACATGGTGAAACCCCGTCTCTACTAAAAATACAAAAAATTAGCCAAGTGTAGTTGTGGGCGCCTATAGTCCCAGCTACTCGGGAGGCTGAGGCAAGAGAATGGCACGAACCCGGAAGGCGGAGTTTGCAGTGAGCGGAGATAGCATCACTGTACTCCAGCCTGGGTGACAGAGCGAGACTCCATCTCAAAAAAAAAGAAAAAAAAGAAGACATAATTGATATTAAGAAGCCTACCCCCAAATGGCCTGAATTTCTATGGAGTGATTAAGAGCATGATTATCTCCAATACTTTACTAGCTGTGTAATACTGACTAACAATGTTGGGCAAGTGACTGACATCTCTGAAAAACATAAACCTCATCTGCAAAATGGAGCTATTTCATAGGACTCTTCTGAGGATTAAATAAAATGCTGCAGGTAAAGCATTCATCACATTGCTTAAAATGTAGTACATGCTCACATATCACCCTTAACAGCTACATTTTAAATTAGGAATTTATTTGCTGATTTACATCATCTTCCCAAGGGCAAATTGATTAGCCTGTCCACCAAATTGTAAACTCTGAAAGGCAAAAACACATTTAATTTTTAATCACTTTAGAGACATTAAAAATTTTGCTGACTTCTTTTTTTGTTTGAGACAGAATCTCACTCTGTCACCCAGGATGGAGTACAGTGGTGCAATCTAGACTCACTGAAACCTCTACCCCACCCCCACTCTTCCATCCCCCACCCCTGGGCTCAAGCAATCCTCCCACCTCCGCCTCCTGAGTAGCTGGGACTACAGGCATGCACCACTATGCCCAGCTAATTTTTTCTTTTTTTGTATTTTTTGTAGAGACAGGGTTTTTATCATGTTGCCCAGGCTGATCCTGAACTGGGTTCAAGTGATCCACCTGCCTCGGCCTCCCAAAGTGCTGGCATTACAGACATCAGCCACCTGGCCTGCTGACTTTTTAAAAAATCTTTTATACATGCATACACACACAGAAATATATGTACATTCTCAAGATTTTTTTAGACCACAATCCATTTCTGCCAAACAAAAAAATTCCATGGAATGGTACATTTATAATTTATTTTCTTGCTCTTCTGTAAAGCAAGAAACAAATTATCATCTCTGTTTACCTCTGCAAAGAAATCATCAGAATTAAATATAAGAAAATAATTCAAAAGAAAAAATATAAATAGATAAATATGTACAGTCAGCCCTCCATATCCATGAGTTCTACATCTGTGGATTCAACCAAATGGGGATGCAAAATACAATATTCTCAGAATGCAGAACCCATGGTTACATAGGCTTACTTTTCACATCCAGGGTTTCAGCAGGGCCAACTACAGGACCTGAGCATCCTCAGATGTTGGTATTCAAGGGGATCCTGGAACTAATTCCCCTTCAGTATCGAGGGATGACCATGTATATATATAGTCATGCACCGCACAACATTTTGGTCAGTGATGGACCACATATATGAAAGTGGTCCCATTAGATTATAAACTGTATTTTTTACTGTATCTTTTCTGTGTTTAGATACGTTTTGATACACAAATGCTCACCATTGTGTTACTGTTGCCTACAGTAGTCAGTGTAGTAACATGCTGTACAGGTTCATATGGTTTTATGGCATTGAGCACTTAACCTGTGGGATCGCCAGGTGTCAGAATTAAATTGAATTATAAGACATCCAGCCAATGTCTGTTACAGAATTGCTTGTTTTGTGTGTGAGGGAAAAAACTCACACATATCTGGTATCAAAAGTGTTGTGCTGAATGACTGTGTCAAAGAATAGGAAAAAGACACTTTGGGCTGGGTGTGGTGGCTCATGCCTCCAATCCTAGCATTTTGGGAGACCGAGGAGGGCAGATCACTTGAGGCCTGGAACTTGCAACCAGCCTGGGCAATATGACGAAATCCTATCTCTATAAAAGATACGATAATTATCCAGGCATGGTGGCACATGCCTGTAGTCCCAGGTACTCAGGAGGCTGAGGCAGGAGGATCATTTGAGCCCAGGATGTGGAGGTTGCAGTGAGCTGAGATCGTGCCACTGCACTCCAGCCTGGGTGACAGAGTAAGACTTGTCTCCAAAAAAAAAAAGACACTTTGGGTTTCTTTTTCCTTGATATCTCAAATACATATATTATGTTTGTTATCAACAGATATATATATAGATATAGATATTCTGTGTAAGCAACACTACATGCTTTAAAAAATGTTAAAAAATTGAAAAATGTACAATTTTAGAGGAATAGCTAAATTAAGTATGACATAACATGATTGGAATTTATGCAGTCATTTAAATTAGCGACTGTTAGATGGAAAAGTATTTACAAAATAAATGAGAATATAGAAATATAAAACTATATACAATTATGACTATGTAAAAACCATTTGATCTATTCATTTATGCAACTTTAACCTTCTAGACTTTTTAAATTTTGAACTTTTACAAGCATGCTCCTGTGTTACTCAGATAATAAAAACTAATGGATTTACATAAATATTAGATAAGAGCACAAATGAAGGAAAAAGTATGTTAAAGATCATAAATTAATTTTAGTACAACATCTTTTGTACAATTTCAAAGTTTATTGATTTATTTATTTTTATTTATTATCTTTTTTTTTTTTTTTTTTGATGGAGTCTTGCTCTGTTGCCCACACTGGAGCGCAGTGGTGTGATCTCAGCTCACTGCAACCTCTGCCTCCTGGGTTCAAGCGATTGTCCTCCCTCAGCCTCCCAAGTAGCTGAGATTATAGGCATGCACCACCATGCCCGGCTAATTTTCGTATTTTTTAGTAGAGACGGGGTTTCGCTATGTTGGCCAGGCTGGTCTTGAACACCTGACCTCAGGTGATCTGCCTGCCTCGGCCTCAGAAAGTGCTGGAATTACAGACGTGAGCCACTGCGTCCGGCCTTTTTTTTTTTTTTTTTTTTTTTGAGACGGAGTCTCTGTTGCCCAGGCTGGAGTGCAGTGGTGTGATCTTGGCTCACTGCAACCTCCACCTCCCAGGTTCAAGCGATTCTCCTGCCTCAGCCTCCCGAGTAGCTGGAATTACAGACGCCCACCACCACGCCCGGCTAATTTTTGCATTTTTAGTAGAGACGGGGTTTCACCATGTTGGCCAGGCTGGTCTCAAACTCCTGACCTCAGGTGATCTGCCCGCCTCAGCCTCCCAAAGTGCTGGGATTACAGGCATGAGCCACCACGCCCAGCCCAGCCTTTTTTCTGAGACAGAGTCTCAAGTCTTGCTCTGTTGCCCAAGTTGGAGTGCAGAGGCGCAATCTCAGCTCACTGCAGCCTCTGCCTCCCAGGTTCAAGTCATTCTCCTGTCTCGGCCTCCCTAGTAGCTGGGATTACGGGTGCGTGTTACCACACCTGGCTAATTTTTGTATTTTTAGTCTGGTCTCGAACTTCTAACCTCAAGTGATCCACCCGTCTCAGACTCCCAAAGTGCTGGGATTACAGGTGTGAGCCACCACACCCGGCCCAGAGTTAATTTAATAATTATGTATTTTAAACTAAGTAGAAATATTTAGAAGGATAGCAATGCTTTAAGTGAAATATTAATGTAGGATATCATGTTTATTAAGTCATTCAACTAAGTTACTAAGTTCCAGTATGCTTAAGGCTCTGTGCTAGGTGCTAGGGACATAGTAATGAACAACATAGATTTATCGAGGCAGGCAAATTGTGAACAAGGAAGTTCATCTTTACACATCCATATTTCTTCTCACTAGAATCCTCCAAATCATTCCCTATTTGCCCTAACCACCCCTTCCAAAAACCTTCCCTAAGAGGTATATCTCATAATCTAAATCTCCTCTGCCTTCCTCCTCCCCACCCCATCGATAGCCCATGCTAGCCTGGCCTGTGTGATTGTGTCCCATTCCTTCTAGCAATCTGCTGTCCCTGCTTGGCTGTGTTAATAGATCACCCCAGGTGACGTAATGCTTTAACCAAGCAGAACCACAAATATCCCCAGAAAGCTCTTAGGAAAATGAGTGGCTTTCCTGTCCCTATCCCTACTATTATGGGTCAGCTTTGATCTGATCTAAACTTGCTGTGCCCACGTCATGTTAGACTCAGTAAGTGAAAGATGCCAGTTCTCCTGGCGGAAACCAGATCTGTATATGCACTCTGGGAAAACATAGCTTTCAACTGTGTCTTCCCTCTGGACAAGAGGAGGACACTCCAGGCAAAGCAAACTGCATGCAAAGGTACGTGGTGTGAGGCAAAGCAAGGGGGCTAGGGTGGAGGGTGTATGTGGGAGAATGGCAGGAAATGAGGGCTGGGGCAGGTAAGAGTAGAGAGGTAGGGAAGTCGAACTGTAAGCACTGGTGGTCACAGTGGTGAATCTTAAGCAGAGAAGTGACATGATCTGATTTGTGTTTTGGAAAGCTCATAGTAGCAGAATTAGGAGGATGAATAGGGAAGGGGTTCTGACTGGAGTTACAAGGGCTCCATGATATCATGAAATATATATATTTGATCTTCCTCTTGTTTCCTGATATGGAGCTCCTAAAACCCTTGGCATCTCTGGACTGATGAGTGTCTTTTGGATACCAATTAAATGA